TACCCGCATTTGCTCCTGTGGGTAATGTCTACAGTATTGACATTTACATGTCTAATATGTAATTGTAAAGCGCTGTGAGCGGCTAAAGAACTATTTTGTGTTCTTGATAGCTATGGACTGACTCAGCATGTGACGGAGCCCACGCACAATAAGGGGCACACTCTGGACTTAATTATCTCAAAGGGTCTGAATATCTCTAAGGTTGTGGTGACTGATGTTGCACTCTCTGACCATTCCTGTGTTTTCTTTGAGAGCTCTATTTCTGTTCACAAAAATGTTCAAAAAGAGGTAACCACAAAACGATATTTAACTGAAAATACTAGGGAAATGTTTACTCAGAATTTTTCTTCCACACTTGCCCCTGCCAACATCTCAGTAAATGAGCTAGTAGATCATTTTAATTCAAAAATTAAAAATGTTATAGATGCCATTGCTCCAACTAAGGTAAAGGAAGTGTCTGGCAAGAAAATATCTCCATGGAGAAAGGCCATGAGCGTGAAAACAGAAAAAAGAGAATGTCGAAAAGCTGAACGCAGGTGGCGAAAAACAAATCTCCAGGTTCACTTTGAAATCTATAAAGAGAGACTTGGCCTTTATAATTTGGAATTGAAAAACGCACGACAATCGTTCTTCTCTGACATCATTACCAAAAACAAAAACAACGCACGTGCCTTGTTTGCTACCGTCGACAGACTAACTAACCCCCCAGTGTCAGTAGCCTCTGAATTTCTATCCACCAGGGCGTGCAATGATTTTGCCTCCTTCTTCACTGACAAAATTCAGAACATCAGACAAGCAGTCAGTGCCTCTGCATCAGGAACAGCAAATGTGTTGTCCCCATCTCCACTTAACATCAATTCAGACATCATGACACAATTCCATCAGATTAATGATAAAAACCTAGAGGACATTATTCAACTTCTGAAATCCTCCTCTTGCTGCCTTGATATTATTCCAACAGGATTTTTCAAAGATGTTTTGCCTTGCATGGCCTCAGATCTACTTCATATAGAAGAATAATAATAATAATCTAGATGCTTCAGTAATGAACAATTACAGGCCCATATCAAACCTGCCATTTCTAGGTAAGATCATTGAAAAAGTTGTTTTTCAACAGTTGAGTAATTTCTTGCATTTAAATAACTGTTTTGATGTGTTCCAGTCAGGCTTTCATCCAAACTACAGCACTGAGACTGCTCTTGTAAAGGTCTTTAATGACATCCACTTAAACACAGACAGTGGCAGAACTTCAGTGTTAGTATTATTAGATCTCAGTGCTGCGTTTGACACTGTTGACCACAGCATATTACTAGACCGACTGGAAAACTGGGTGGGACTTTCGGAAACAGTTCTAAATTGGTTTGAATCCTACTTAAAGGACAGAAACAACTTTGTTTCTATAGATAAATACACATCTGAGTTGACAAATATGACATGTGGGGTTCCTCAAGGCTCCATCTTGGGGCCTCTTCTCTTTAACATCTACATGCTACCACTGGCTCAGATAATGAAGAACAACAAAATAAGTTACCATAGCTATGCAGATGACACACAAATTTACGTAACAATTTCACCAGGAGACTATGCTCCAATTCAAACACTGAGTAAGTGCATTGAACAAATCAATAACTGGATGTGTCAGAACTTTCTCCAATTAAACAAAGATAAAACTGAGGTAATGGTTTTTGGAGCCAAGGCAGAACGTATAAAAGTTAGCGCTGAGCTTCAGTCTGCAATGTTCAAAACAACAGATAAAGCCAGAAATCTAGGTGTAGTCATGGACGCTGACCTGAATTTCAACAGTCACATTAATACAGTTACTAAATCAGTTTACTATCACCTAAAGAACATATATAGGATTAAAAGACTAATGTCACAGCAGGATTTGGAAAAACTTGTCCATGCTTTTATCTTCAGTAGACTCGACTACTGCAATGGTGTCTTCACAGGTCTCACTAAAAAATCTATTAGAAAGCTGCAGCTGATTCAGAACGCCGCTGCTCGAGTCCTCACTAACACTAAGAAAGTGGATCACATCACTCCTGTTCTGAAGTCTTTACACTGGCTTCCTGTGTGTCAAAGAATAGATTTCAAAATACTGCTGCTGGTTTATAAAGCACTGAATGGTTTAGGCCCAAAATACATTTCTGACCTCCTGCTAAATTATGAACCATCCAGATCTCTCAGGTCTTCAGGGACTGGTCAGCTTTCTGTCCCCAGAGTCAGAACTAAACATGGTAAAGCAGCGTTCAGTTATTATGCTCCAAATATCTGGAACAAACTCCCAGAAACCTGCAGGTCCGCTGCAACTCTGACTACTTTTAAATCCAGACTAAAGACTTTTCTTTTTGTCGCTGCTTTTAATTGAACTATTCATATCTTAGACTGCACTGTAACTTTTATCCATGTACTTTTTTTTCTTTTAATGTTTAATTGACTGCACTGTAACTTTTATCCATGTATTTTTTCTTTTAATGTTTATTTTATTAGCTTTTCTTTTTAATAACTGATTTTAAATGCCATTTTCTTAATCACTTTCATTTTTTGTAAAGCACTTTGAATTGCCTTGTGTTGAAAAGTGCTATATAAATAAACTTGCCTTGCCTTGCCTTGTGAGCACCTGTAAAAGTGCTCTAATAAAAAAAAAAAAAAGTATTATGTTGTAAAGCGTGTATCTGCTGCAGCGGGTTGTAGCAGCGATGTTTGCAATGAAGGACAGTTTGTTATCTAGGGTCACACCCAGATTCCTTGCAGTCTGAGTCGGGGAAACAACAGAGGGGCTGATGTTGATTGTTAGGTCAAGAGTGGGACAATCTTTTCCAGGAAGAAAAAGCAGTTCAGTCTTGTTGAGCTTGAGGTGGTGAGCAGACATCCACCGAGAGATGTCCGCTAGACAAGCAGAGATGCGTGCGACGACCTTGGTTTCTGAACGGGGAAAAGACAGAATTAATTGGGTGTCGTCAGCGTATCAGTGGTATGAAAATTACTCTAAATTACCATAAACAACATCCATAGCAATCACAAAATCTACAATTTACATACATTTTGCATTTTAAAGGAAGTTAATCACATGCACTTAGATTTAAGAGATATACAAGGTCCCTTGTTCATGATGTTGCCCCCATAAACCAAATAGACACATCATAAATCCAACATACTCTGCACAATATTGCAAATACTTTTCAAAATGAACAGCTGCATACAGTTTATTTTCACATGGAGAAAAATGTAGAACCTATAATGTACCTATCATGATCCTTAAGCTAAAACGGACCTATAATGTATGTAACCAAGTGGGGCTGTGTCATGGAGTTATGAGCAGGTGTTAAGGATTACAGGGATCACACCAAGACGCTTCTATTTCCCTCCGTACTTAAACAACTGTGTGCTTTAAATCATAAATAATAATAGCTAGAACTAACGCTTGTTGAAGCGACTCAGTCCGGAATTGAGCTCCTAATCCCTGACATGGCAATCCTTTTCTAAAATTGTCTTTAAAAATATTCCCATGCTTCCCGTGAGCCCCCACAAACTAGAAGGAACTGCAGAATGTTTAATGATTTGGTACCCAAAGAAAAGTCATAATCATATCTTTGAAGTAAGTTGAGCAAAAGTTTAAGATACCAGTTGAGTAGGCTGCTGTCTGCTGAAAAAACAGCAGCGCATCCTGAAGGAATGGTTACACTAAAGCTAAAATATGCAACTGTGTCGGCCTTGAGGCAGCACAGAAGAAGTATATTGGTTGTGCCATTCTCCTCTCCCTCACTGGAGAAAGTTTACAATAAATTCCAACACTTATCACTCATTTTGATTAGCTGTCTACCTAGAAACACTATGTAGCCTCCGGCTGAGCTAACTGGCGTACTATGCCAACAACAGGTGTTGAAGAGGCAATGAATGCAGACAATAAAACAAGCAATGGTGTACACTTCTCTTTTTAAATTAACTTTTACTGCTACATCTTCAGCTTAGTTGCTTCTTAACTGCTTTTCATATTTTAGTATATGATTTCCCTTCTTTCAAGTCACTAGGCTTGCTTTAAGACTGCAATGATTCAAATTCGATTTATAGCAAGCAGAGATTCAATTATGCATTGCATTTTTCAATTGTGATCTATATGACAATGTTGACCTCTACAACAAATGACCCAAATAATCTTAACCACTCAAACGTAAAGATTAATTGCACTGCAATACATTGCTTTTGTTTAATCATTTGTCAGTCATTTGAAGCAAAGATTGGCCATGCACAGTACAAGGGAAATGTTATGATCCTACACTGGTGTACTAGTCATTGATATGCGTTCCTGGTCTAGGAAATTAATTAATAAAACGTTCCATTGCATTAAAGCGTTAGATTCAACTGTTGTATTGTCATATGCACACAAAAATGTAAACTGTATAATGTCTGTTTTCTTAAGGAAACTTAACATAGGAATGCACTGTTCCTCTGTATTTACGCTCATAACAATATTCTTTTCAAATATTGATTAGTTCTCTCATTACATACATCATAACATATTTAATTTGCTTTTCAGGTACTGTACATTATGTATACAAACTTAAAATAGAAATATGTTCAACTGTACTTTAATGTTTCGTCAGTTTTGTGGCATTTCAAAGCATGAAAGCTTTGAAGTTGATTTTTTTGTTTTTACTTTAAACTAATAAATGACTTTTTTTTTTTTCTTTCTTTCACCGTGAAACATTTCTTATCTTTTTTTTTTTTTTTTTTTTTCGTCCCTGGTTGTCAAGTACTGCCACAATTGGAAGTCATCACTTTATTTTTGTTGACACTTTCCGACACAGACAATATGCCTTAATTAAAATGATTTAATGCATCTGGATGAAAGCTAGATTATATTTAGAATCTAAAAACATGAGAAAAAAACACATCACTTCTTTCCCTCCTGTCACATGTACGCTCATTCCTCCTTCATCATTCTGTCTGTCTTTATTGTTTTCTTTCATGCTTGCTCTGTTTTTCTGTTCTATTTGTAGGTGTCCTTGAAAAAACTGTGGAGGGGGAAGCCACTGCTCTCACCAAAGCTAAGACCCTTTACAAGTCCTGTACCAATGAGAGTGAGTGAGCAGACAATTCATTTTAAAATCTTTTAATTCCATTTTTCTTACAGTCATCAAAGGTCATGTGTCTCTCATTAAGTCTATTACATTTTCAAATTATAAATACAAACTGTGATAATAATTATAATAATTGATTAGTTTAAAGAATCAAGAAAATTGAATTTTAAATATAAAAAAGTATAACCATTCTCATAATGATATATTTGCTTGTTTCTATCTACGCTTCATTTAAGGTTTAATTGAGCTGAGAGGAGGGGCTCCTTTGCTCGACATGCTGTCTGATGTGTTTGATTGGCCCATGGCTGTGGATAACTGGGAGACCAACTATGGTAGACTATTATTTTCCACTGTCATAAAACGGATGTCATACACCAGCAATTCATTTTCATTCTCACTGTTCCTTCTTTCTGCTTTACTCAGGTGAAACGTGGAGGTTGGAGAATGTAATCGCCAAGCTGAATGAGAAATATGGAACACAACTCTTGGTTAACTTTTTTGTTGGCACCAATGACAGGGATTCAAACGCTCACATCATTCATGTAGGTGTGCAACTGTTGGCAGAAAGCCCAGGTCTCTCTTTGTTGCATAAAATCACATCTATACAGACACTCACACATCATAATATGCATGTAGCTAGAAAATAACTATCCACCAATTCTTTCAAATCGTATTTATTGGCTTATATAAATAAGGATGTATATGATCTTGTCTTCCTCTCCACCAGTTTGACCAGCAGACAAACCTTGGACTCTTGTCCAGAGATTACTATGCTTGCACTGGACCGTACGCAGAGGTAGGCTTGAGGTGGACCCACACACTTGGGAATTATTGAATAGTTTTATTCAATACAGGATGAATTCCAAGTTTTTACAATTAAACTGCTACATTTTAACACCCATATTTTTATAAAAGGGAAGCAGTTCTAAAATCTGTAATAAAAAAAAAAATAGGCTATTGAAAAATGAATAATCTTCTATGAAAATACTTTTGGAAATAACTTCCTTTAAAAGTCAAAACTGAATACAAATATCATGAATGTGTGTATTTGACAGGCATGTCGGGCCTACGAGCAGTTCATGTTTGACCTGGCTAAGCTAATTCGCACTGACAGGAAACTGGTCATCAATGAGACCAGCATCAGGCAGCAGGTGGCACGAGTCATGGACCTGGAGAAGGACATCGCCAATGTAAGCACTCACACTTTTTCCTCCATCTGCTTCAGAAAATATCCCTTGTTGTTCTTTGAGAAACTGAGGACATGTCAACACACAATGCACACCTTATCGTCTGTCTCAGCTAGGTATATAATGTGAGCAAACCATTTGTTGCCCAAACTGCTCTCCTCTGTGTGTTTTGGAGCAGCTGCTGTGTAAAACAAGCTGTTAACCAGCCTGATCCCTACACAACAACTTTTCTCTGACATCAACAGGTTTCCACAGTCCATGTTTGTCATTCTGCGCTGGTTCTGTGCTCTGCTCACTGTCACGCTTCACTTCCCCTCCACACGGCTGATGGCTTTTACAAGGCAGTCACACTGTTCAAGCTCTGACATTTACAGACCTGAAGCCCCACGGGACACCAAATATGTTTGTTGCTACTGGACCTTCCAGGGAATTGCTCAGATGTGTCAGAAAACATGAGAGTTTTGTTCTGACAGCATTCTTGATTTTCTGCCCATCTGTCTTATCCATTCCAAGGCTACTGATACTCCAGAGGACCGTAACAACCCTGTGTTGCTTTACAACAAGATGGAACTGGGTGATATGAACACCAACTTTACCCTTGAGGTTGAATCCCAGGTAAAAATAGACTGCTTTTCTGTCAGAATTTGATGTTTCTTTTTCACCTTCCTTCCTCTTTTTAATGCCGCTTTTTGTCCTGTTTCTCTGTGCTTTTGGACTTGTAGGTATTTGACTGGAGTTACTTCACAGCGAAGATAATGGATACAGTCAATATCAGTGTTCCTGACACAGAGAAAGTCATCAACTACTCCCCCAACTATTACAGAAGACTCAGCGTTATCTTGGCCAAATACAACAAGAGGTGTTTTTGTTGAGACTGAAGTGTTTGTGGGTGCCTTTGGGTGCTGCAATGAAAACAACTGCTCACCCAGAACTGACATAGTGTAGCTTTGTGTGATTATAATTTCTCTGAACATCATTCCTTTGCTCACAGGGATCTGCAGAACTACATGGTGTGGCGTTTTGCTATGAACATGGTGGTGGGCCTGAGCAGATCTTACAGGGACACCAGGAAAGCCTTCCGCAAGGTAAACCTCAAAGACCTTGGCACAATTGATACTACATTTTAGAGGTGGATAGCAATCAGTTGGGCACTAAATAGCATCAGTAGACAGGCCCTGGGACTTCACCCCTGTCAGTGGCTATAACCACATTATTTATCTATATATTCAACTATGCCAACACTTTTGTGCAATAAATCAACCCTGCACTCCTACAGCTTACTCGTAAATGCTACATCATATATTATTACTCATATCCTTTTTTTAGTGCTCTGAAATATGACCACACTCAAGCATAGATCCAGTGCTTTAAGATTGTCAGTATTTAAACTTGTGTTACATGTTGTAGTAAACATGTTTTTTATTAAAAAAATGTATTTTTGTATATTATATACTTTTTTTAAATTTCCATTTCTTATTATATCTCTAAGTCTATGGTCTATATATTAATTATTATGCTAGATTATAGGATGGGACCAACTGACATCTCCCTGGGATCAACTTAGTATTCCTGGATCTGATGATTCTGAATCTGAAAAACAAAATGTACTTGCTAATTGTTATCGTTAGAACTTTATAACTCGACAATAAAACATTTCTGATGTTTGGCAGGTATGTATAGTACCATTTTAATGGAACATATTAGGCATGGGAACATTTGCTAATTAGCATCAAAACAAAAGGACAGCTAAGGCTGATGGGAACATAATTAGGTTGGCATTTGTTTGGTCATAAACAAAAGCATTTGGCAATGTTATTCCACTGCTGGTGGAACCCTAGGTTATTCAAATGAATACTTGTAGGGTCACAAGACATTTCACTCATCAGAAAAAATGCAATGCTCACTTTGGGTCTAGATAAAAGGTCAAAGCAGCAGCAAAGTTAGTAGGATTTATCTTCTGGGGACCTTGAATGTGTGAATATAACTTTATAGAAATCCATCCGGTACTCAAGAAGATTTTTAACTTGATCAAAGGTCTATCAATGTGGCCGACCCTAAAGCCATGCTGCTGGAATAACCTTGTTGGTGCTTTGGTGAAACACTATGTAGAAATGTTCGAAATGATTCTATACTGCAGATTCTTAGCATCAGCTTACCAATATGCAGATACTCGGATATAAATTGTGCTTAATAGGCTCAAATAAACAGTTATTGTCGACACTCTGCTAATTTTCTCTTTGTAAACAAATCAATTCACTTCTGTCCTTTTTCTTATAGGCCTAAGTGCAAAAGTGATGCATAATGGAGGTGCAAATAAAGAATCACCATGAGCTTCTTTAAACAACACGCCGAGTGGTTCATTCTGCACCTCTAATTGATTGGTGCCGTGTTACTTTTCCTTCAGGCTCTGTCTGGTACAACGTCAGAGGCAGCAGTGTGGCGACAGTGTGCACTTTACGTCAACAACAACATGGACAATGCTGTGGGAAGACTGTATGTGCAGGAGGCCTTCTCTGAAAAGAGCAAAGAACTGGTCAGTGAAGGGTTGATTATATACTGGAGGGTTTGAACATGCATACTGACAGTTTGGCAGCATTTATGTTTCAGGCTCCTCCTGCTAAGTGTGTTTTAATCTTTCATCACATGTGCGTCTTCTGTCCCCACCACTGTAATGTATTATGTGCTTGCACCCATTCAAAGCAGCTGAACAAGGTGTCCTGGTTATCATGCCCCCACCAACACCACCGTGAATTTCAACTCTGTGCGCACATGTGTGTCAGATTGCACTCAGATCGTTTGCGTAACCGTGTACATCAGTTGCAATGCTGAGTGCCTCACACGCCTTAAATCTTGGTCCTCTCCTGGAACTTTACCCACTCTTGGATTTCACGTCGCACCCTGAGCAAATGTGTGTGTGTGTGTGTGAAAAGTGACACACAATTCCAAGTAGGTATCAACACCCCTTTCTCCGAATTCAAGACCATGCACATAATGTGTAAGTGTGCTGAGAGTTGCCCTGCAGCTGGCACACATGCTGCACTCCTCACATACCAACCTTCTCGCAGCCACAGAGATGTATTTCAGATTTGATCATCAGTGTAATGAAGCACTTTTCCACACATACTTAACACTGATACCTATGACTCAGAAGAAAACATTGTACAATTTAATCTTTGACAATTCTTTAATTTTCTTTGCCTTTATCTATTAAGTTATGTGAAAATCTTTTACAGCATGATTTTTACTAAAAGATACATGACTATTATGACAGACAAAACAACTACGTACACAGTTAAACAAATATTATTCTGATCCATAAAATAACGCAATAATAATATACAACTTCTTTCTGCATAATGAGAAATTTGATTCTTAGATTATGTTATGATTATGCTGTTCTCTACAGCGACTTGACTCTATATGCAAAACCTTATTATTTTGAGAGCGAGTGAGTAGATCAAGTTGAAGAGCGGTGAATTGGTGCCCATAAATGGAAATCATTGCACTTTAAATTATTAATATGATACACAAAGTTTAAATGGGCTTTCCATGTAATAGAAACCCAGCATGTAACACGTGTTAATACAGTATATCTTAAAATTGCACATGCAAACAGACAACAATCTAAATATGACTCTAATGCATTGACACAAGACAAACTCATGTGCACACACACACACACACACGTTTGTTTTAAGGCTTCCAAATAGCTTCATCAGTATGGTCCCTGGAGTTTAGTTATTGGTAAACCACAGCCTGCTGTCCGAGTGGTCATGGAGTGTATTAGTGAGGGATCGGCTGATGTGATGAGACGCTGGAATGCCTCTGTCAGCGCTGTGCGGTCTCAGAGCACTATGGTTATAAAGATCTGCGAGCATGACCTTAGCTGTCACTGCAGATTTTAAGTTTCCCCCCTTTACTGTTCAGATTTCATTCTTACCGCGTTTTGTTTGTGTGGCCTATAACTATCCGATGACCACGGTACAGTACATGATTTGCACAGAATGATGTATGGTGGCGTCAGTCTGTCTCTATGAACAGTATTTAGGCGCATGCTTGTAAATACTGTTACTCAAGAGTAGGGATGGGTATCGTTTGAAATGTATCGATTCCGATTTCGATTCCGGTTCTGCTTATCGATTCCGGTTCTTATCGATTCCCCGTTTCGATTCCAAAATTGTAAAATAAAGAGGTCAAACGTTTAGATAACAAAAATATATTTATTCTTAAAAGCTTTAACTGAAATTGTTACTAAAAAATATACATGCAATACAAATGTATTGCACAATAGCTGTGCTTTATTTTAACTGAGCTATGCCTGTGGCAAGCTATTAACAGGCATTACACTTTGCCTTTTCTTTTTCTTTTTTAGTGTAGTGGAGCCTCACTTCAGAGTGTTTACCGCGACCTATCTTTGGTGTTATGAAGTGACTGAGCTCGTGAAATGTCTACGGGAGGGCGGGGGGAGCATCGCTGCGGGGCAACTGTGGACCTCTGTCGCCTGTCAGCGCAATTTATATGATGCCGTTTAAAAAAATGAAGGGCGGTGCCGGCCGTCAGCGTACCGAGCCGGCCGTCAACGGCCCGCTGACGACCGGCCGTTCTGTGATTCTCCAGGTCCGCCCTGTATTCCACCGGGTCACCGCAGCACCGCGGTGCAGACGGACCCGCTGGAATACAGGGTCTACCGCGTTTAGGAACCGTTAAGCAGAACCGAAATTGTGTATTTTGTATGGGTACCCGGTACCCGGCATTTTCTTATCGGTTCTCATCTGGAACCGAGTTTCGGTTCCCAACCCTACTCAAGAGTAATACTGTATGGAGACCAACTTGCACCACAGGTTTCCACTGAAAATGGAGATTTGGATGTTGATTTTGGAGCATCTTACTGTGAGAACGGTCATATACAAACATCTGATTATTCTGAGACCTCCATCTTGAGACCTCTATAATGCCAATATTATGTGTATATAATTGGTTATTAGTATTCTCACATGGAAATATTTGTTCTGTGTCACACTATTTGCTTAATAAGAAAATAATAACTAATTTGTGTTACATATTGTAAATATTAAGATCAATAACCTCTTCTTTAATTTGGAGTTAAAAAGCTCTTGATTTTTCCAATCAAAGTCAATCCCAAACTACTAGATGCTTATTTAAGTACATTTTAATATTAAAAGTGCTGAAAGGAAGTGGGAAGCATCAATTTGAGATACACTGTAGAACCTTTTAAGACAACAAGTAGTACAATTAAGTTGTAAACATGTACAATAGTTTATACGTTTGTCAACTATTTGTGACTGTCTCTTACCCTGTTCGTGTTTGTGTGCGATCAGATGGAGGAGATGATTAAAGACATTCGGGAAGTGTTCATTAGTAACCTCTATGACCTGACATGGATGGATGAGGAGACCAAGAAAGCAGCTGAGGAAAAGGTATTGACTGCTGAGGCCTGTACGACGAAGCCAGATTTTTGCTTTAGCCGGCTAACTTCAGGGAAAACTCTGGGTCTCCGGTCCTACGAAGCTGGTTCTCTTTTTAGTGGGCTAGATCTCCATGGTAACTTATGCTGAGCGGCTAACCTGGTCCGGAGCAGGTTAGGTTCCAGGCCAAGAGATAAAGTCAGTGAAAGCACCGCCTGCTGACCAATCAGAGCTCAGTGTGCGGAGTTTAAAGCGATCAAGTCATATTACAGGAGAAAGGAAATACAGTTTAAACTGCCGTCGCAGGAAAGACGGCCCGCAAAAATCACCGACTGTGTGAACGTGAAAATTAATAGAATATCACCTCCCATCTTCAGAGCAATCTAACGATTATAACATTAGCGTTAAGAAAGCTTACTTAAATATCTGCCACAACATAAGTAACCGGATCAAAGTAACATTACGTACTGTCCGCGGCACTGAGTGCAGACGTCGATGTGTCCCATTCACATCATATCACCAGTGGCGTTTTTATATGTACTAAAGTGGTGGGGCACAAAAAACGTAGATGTCTATATATAAGCTTCTGCAGTGAGGTTCATGGCTGGTGAGGCACTGGCACCGACTCTTCAGGTTTACAAATATAATATTTGGACCTAAATCAAAATTGACAAAACACTCGAGTCAAATGTAACTAAAGTCAGATCCACTCGTGGTTTAGACGGGGCAGTGATATCATAAACCTGTTAATGAACGCATTCAAACACTTTTTCTTTTACCAGTTGTATTCACTTTGCAGGTGCAGCTACAGTATGTGGCTTTTATTCTGGATAAAGTGTTTAAGTCATGGATGTTTAAAGTTTAATGTCTTCATATTTATCTAATATTATAGTTGACTTTTCATTCAGGAAGAATGACGCTGCGTTGTCAGTATGCTTGTCCATGTTTGTGATTGGTCGAATGCTCCAAATACCACCCCTTTCATGTGAACACACACCTAACTAGATAGGACACGGCTAGCTTGAGCGATCCACTTGATAACCCACGTCATAGGACCGCTTAGCGAGAGTGCATATGTTTTCGATTAGTCCAACCGGCTAACTCAAACATATCCAGGTTAGGTTGAACCGGCTTCGTCGTACAGGTGTCTGGTTTCAAGTCTATATTTACCAATACAAATGTGAATAGTTCCACCAGAAGTCATTACACGTACAGTCATAATGAGCAGAGAAAACACAATGCTGATTCTGGGACCCACAGAATGTTTTATTAACAGACATACAACCAAACACATATTCTGAGAAAACAAAAGTACATAAATAGACTGCACATGAGGTCATCATTTCATTTTGACAAGAATGGCTTTGTATGCAGAGGAAGACGCACATAACATTACGTTATTAGAAGGATAGATTCCCTTCTGCTTGCTAAAAATGATTTAAGAAATGATTCAGTGTTTAATATGCCGATAACATGTGGCCCAAAGTTGCAGGGTTTTGTGACAAAGACTTTGTTTTCCCATTTTGTTCTCATCTACTCTTCTATAGGCCCGTGCTATTCGGGGACGGATTGGCTATTCTGACGACATCAGGGATGACGGATATCTTAACAATGAATACAAAGATGTAAGTGTCTGAAGAGTTGCCATTTTTAATGTTTTTTTTTTCTTTCTCGGAATAAGTGTAACCGAATACATTCATATCAGTGCTATGAAAACATCTCTGTAAATTCCTGCCTTTTCTGAGATTTTCTGGAGAATATGACCAAGTGTTGATAGCTCTCATCATGGCTAATCCTCCGGTTTCTTTGGCTGTGTGTTGGTGTTAGCTGAGCTACACTGCAGAGGAGTACTTTGAAAACATCCTGCAGAACCTGGAGTATGTGCAGAAGAAACGCCTGCGGAAACTCAGAGTCAAAGTCAACAAAGATGAGTAAGAGTTAACTGATGTAATTCTTGGGGCCTGATTAGAGCATTGCTCTGCTAACAGGATTATTTCAATTGCATAGTTATTGAAAGTGACAATGTTAAGTGTTTACATCACTAGTAATAAAATATGTATTTGTGTGAGGTAAGACACACCATCTTGCATTTAGCACAGTGCATTCACATTCTCCCACACAAACTCCTACTCATACATACAGTTCAGCCTTTCACTGAGCACAACAGGAATGCTAATATTAGCTCTCTGTTAGGTTAATTATAATACCTTTCATCAACTCTGAATCTTGCTGCACTACCGGGCTCATCACAGTATCATTCTTTAATTTCACCCTCCTTTCCTTCTGCAGGTGGGTAACTGGAGCTGCTGTTGTCAACGCCTTCTACTCATCCAGCAAAAACCAAATAGGTATATACACATGCAAACTTTCATCTGTGTAATTCAAGATTTTATTAAGTATTCTAGGAAAAACCATTATTTTGCTTTTCTCTTTTGTTAGTTTTCCCTGCAGGAATCCTCCAGCCACCTTTCTTTAGCAAAGGCCAGGCTAAATCTCTCAACTATGGTGGCATCGGCATGGTCATTGGTCACGAGATCACTCATGGCTTTGATGACAATGGTATGAGTTTCCACACTGTTGCTCTCTATTTCCCCCAAAGGCAGTTTTGGCAGAGAATACCATTCTGAGAGAAATATTTCCCCTTTTGTAACTGGTACCCATTCAGAAATGTAATTTCTTTGTGCGACAGATCATTTTTCTTTGAGTTCATATCCATTGGGTAATCTGAAGTTATGAGGTTCAGTGTCAGTATTTTTGATACTCATACCCCCAACTGCAACCGACCCACACATAAGCAAATGAAAATGCATTGGAAAATGTTTTTGACATTACTTGCACCACTTCAGTGCTGTCTCAGCTAACGGGAAAATTGAAGTTTGGGCATTAAGAAGTGTTACTGTTATTTGTGTCATATTTTTCTAATCCAGAAAGTCAACCATTCATGCATTTTGCTTATTTTTAAGGCCGTAATTATGATAAGGATGGTGACCTGAAGGACTGGTGGACACCTGACTCCACTCAGAAGTTCCTAGACCTGTCGAAGTGCATTGTCAATCAGTATGGCAACTTCTCCTGGGACCTGGCCAATGGACTTCATGTATGTCCTGGTAGACTCTATCTCTTGCTTTGCTTTCTCCTCAAGTTTTTATATCAGTACAACTTTTAAAGTATTATCCCAAACCTCATTCTTTGTCTTTACTTTCCTGATACCTTTGTCAGATTATCCATTTTCATCTTTTCCCCAGTTTTGCAAGCTATAGTCCTCTCTCCTCCAGGTGCCTTTAATATGTAGTGTTGACATATCCACCCCCTTCCCTTTGTCCGCTTGCTTTGCACAATGCTTCTTTTATCCCCTGGGACAAAGATTTCTTGTATTATCAAAAAAGTGATAGCTGTGATTTGCTGAAATCAGTATCAACCTCTGTCCTTCTCCCTTCCATCCTTTTGTTTTCTCTCCTTATGACCCCTTTCTAGTTAAATGGTAACAACACCCTCGGGGAGAACATCGCTGACAATGGAGGGATACGGCAGGCATATCAGGTAATGAGCTTGAAAACGAATGAAGAAACTCAGTTAATGGCCCTAGTTTAAAGATGATGGAGGATGGGATTCAGTATGCAGCTTTTTATGTTGTCTGCTTGCTAACATTAATAGATGTGTCATTCTGCCAAGTCACTGACAGGCTCATTAGCTAATGTAAATACAACAATGAAGGATATGATATTGCTGCTGATTTTCTCAGTTTTACTAGAGGTGAACAGAGAAAGGATATTCACAGATTTGATTTCAAGAGATAATTATGTATTCTTACTTTAGGTCAACTGCAATGTTGTTTTGTTTATAATTGCATGAACTCTATCCATTGCATTGCTCCTTTGAGGCAAAGTATAGATTTTATGTTATTGACTAGTAAACCGGTCTCATACAGACAACATGCCTGTATAATTATTGAAATGTCTTGCTCTGCAGGATATCTGACATGTGTTTATGGTTACATGAATTAGCCCAGCATGTGAAACTACTGTGTAATTATACCTTTTGATGAGGATAATAACAACCAAATTTGTCATTTACAATTGAAACAACAGGATGGAAAGCTTTTTCAAAACAGTTGTACTATTCTTTCGACTAACAGTTGATAAGAACATTTGTTTCAATACTGCAGGCCTATAAGAACTACGTGAAGGAGCATGGAGAGGAGCCATCACTGCCTGGCATTGACCTTTCCCACGATCAACTCTTCTTCTTAAACTTTGCTCAGGTAATCCTGATTATTGATTGATGGATCTTTGGATGATTGAGTACATTAAATACATGATAAACAGATGGATTGATGTATGGATGAGGGATCGATATATGGTTGGATTGATTGGCTTATAGATATGATTTGATGGTGTCAGTTATTGATGGATGATGAAATGTATAATTGAGGTGATGGATGAATGGATAGATACATAAATTGATAAGAAATTATAATGGTCAAACACATTGCATCCTAATCTCTGTCTTTTCAGGTGTGGTGTGGAACGCACCGACCGGAACAAGCTGTTACTTCCATTAAAGTAAATGTACACAGTCCAGGGATATTCAGGTAAAGTAAAACAAAATGTTTTCCTTTACATCAATCTGCCATGTATGATGGAGGGCATTAAATAAATGACAATGGCAACACTTTAATACCTTGATAAATATACATGCTGTGTGAATTATAATGTCAAGTAACCTTCTAATACAGCATCTTTTACCCTCTGTATGTGTTACAGGGTACTGGGCTCCCTTCAGAATTTCCCCGAATTTGCCAAAGCATTCAAATGCAACAAGAACAGCTACATGGTCCCGGACAACATATGCCGTGTGTGGTGATCCCTTAACGTCTAGGATGGGGACTCTTCTGACGTGGGTAGATCCTATCCCGCTGCAGTACCTCTCCTCTCTGACTGTGGGACTTGTGGGGGGCTACAGGGAAGTGAAAGCTCCCCTTAGCTCTTTAATGGATGGACCAGGGCGGGTGGACTGACACTGCAGTATGCACTTCCTCTGAGGAAAGCAGTGGACTGTACCTTCACGGGCAGATGGAGCACTGTCTCTCCGACTCTGATACTGTAGTTCATTCAATCAGCCTGATTATTCTGCTACTCACTGGATACAATCACTCATTGTGTTTTTTGTTTGTTTTTTCTCTCTGGATTTTCATCTTCTTTTACTCATTGTTTTGAGTGTGCCAAAGTGTTTGTGTGTGTGTTTCAGTCAAAATACTGTACAAGTAGTTGTAAAGAGAGGGGTAGGCTGACAAAAGTGCTCATATCCACTAGCATATGAATACATCAGCCACCCACTCGCACATGCACGTAACAGGGCTGAACCTCTGTGCTCCTTGTGGGACTGAGCTGTATGCCTCTCTTGAAACCTCAGCTGGTTTCAGCCTTCATCTACACACTGATACAGTATACAATGTATTTGTTAGGTACTCTTTGTTTATAAGAACAACTAGATTAGGTAAATTATTAAATCAGAGTTTATTTTGCTGAATAGACCAATACCTATGTCATTGTAATCCTTATACACAACACTGTTCTATATTTGAGGATAATGACTTAACTGTGGTTGACAGATGGCTGCTTTTCATTAGCAGTATGTCAAATAAACCAAAATTACATGTTTGCCTTTAAGATGACAGCTGCTCATGAATCATTAGGTAGACAAATGACAGTCAGCAGACCCTTTTATACACTCACTGATCCTCCTGTGTGTTTCTGTGTGGATTACTGTCTGAGTTTTTTTTTAAGTCATGATTACTGTTTGTCAAGCAAATTGGTGTGTCTGACGTGATCTGTTTTGCTGCTCTGTTTCAGCGTCTGTATGTGTATTTGCAGAAAAACTAAATATTAGAACATTTTACCACAAATATACTTTTCTTGCTGATTGCAAAGTCACTTACTATTGTTGTGTGACATTGCTACAGACAGGAGCTGATTAACTTAGCGGAGCATAACAACCGCAAACTGCCAGCCTGACCCGCAATATCATTTAAGCTCATTAATAACCATGTTAGTATTATTAGTACAAGTAGCAAGTGTGGAAAACAATAAATTGTGGTTTTGTATGGCAGTATGTACCAGACTGTTTCTTGGATGGAGGTAGCATTTCCTTGAGTTTAAGCTAGCTGCCTGGAAACGTAATGGTGATGACAAGATTTCACGACTTGAATTCTTTCTCCTTTGTTATTGATTGAAAAAGAAAAATGCAATTTTAAATTGTGCTAGTAGGTATATTGTTTGGGCTGGACTCAGACTAGCTGTTTCCAGTCTTTAAGCTAAGCTTACCACTACCTGGCTGTAGCTTTACATATAGCAAACTGATGAGTGGTATCAATATTCTCAACTTTCTTTTGGTAAGAAAGGAGTAGTTTATTTGACAAAATAAGAAACTATTTAAAAAAACGTGTAGCAACTTTTAGAGCTGATCATGGTTAATCACATGTGCCCCACATGTTCCATCTTTTATATAATTATATTAAACATTGAGGAGTCAATTTAAAGACGATGTTATAACACAGCTTTCAAAGGAATTATCTAATTCAAACAGCGGGCCAAGTCTTTGCTGAAACCTAATGAGCTCTTCAACAGTCAATGCATTTACATTACATTGCATTTAGCTGATGCTTTTATCCAAAGCGACTTACAATAAGTGTGTTCGACCAACAAAATACAAACTTGAAGAAAACAATCATAAGTACATCAGGCTTCATAGAGCAAAAACATTTCAAGTGCTACTCAACTGGCTTTAGGTAAGGCAGTCCTTTATTAGTATATAAGTGCTTTGTTAATAGTTCTATCGCTCGAAGTGGAGTCGAAAGAGATGAGTTTTCAGTCTGCGCCGGAAGGTGTGTAAGCTATCTGCTGTCCTGATGTCAATGGGGAGCTCATTCCACCATTTAGGAGCCAGGATAGCAAACCCACGTGTTTTTGCTGATGGGAACTTGGGTCCCCTTCGCAGCGAGGGTGCAGGGAGCCGTTTGGTTGATGCAGAGCGGAGTGCACGTGCTGGGGTGTACGGTTTAACCATGTCCTGGATGTAGGAAGGGCCAGATCCATTCGCAGCATGGTACGCTAGTACCATTGTCTTGAAGTGGATTCTAGCAGTTATCGGAAGCCAGTGAAGGGAGCGGCGTTGATTGATTGATTGAAAAGTTTATTAACAGCTTGTATATTGGGTACAGTACAGTACAGCTCAAAACATACAATTGTTAAGGGGATGCAGACCAGAGAAAGACTTTCGTCTTGCTTACATCAGGGTCCCCCATTTACAATTCATCATGTCATTTAAGACATATTTGACATACAGATGGCTTATTTACAATTTACATACAGGTGGTTTTTTTCATACAGATTGCTTATTTACAATTTTCATTTTAGATTTCGTTCGAATACATCCTAACCGGACATTTAAGACATACCAAGTCTACAGATATACAGTTAGTAACAGAGTCTAAAATGCGAGTATATACATAGATGGGGGGGGAAGCTGTCCATTGAACGACAGGTTGAGATTTGTACCATTACCGGGGCCAGTTTTGCAATGCTCTCCCCCGAAGGTGCTCTTTAAGAGAGGTTTTGAAGGTAAGTATAGTTTTACTTTCCTTTACAGTTGTGGGAAGAGCGTTCCACCTTGATGTGGCATAATTGCGAAACGTGTATTCCCCCTTTTTTGTGCCAAATCTGGGTTTCACATGATTTGTGGAGCTCCCTCTGGTGTTATGATCATGGTATTCCTTGACCTTTGGGAAGAATTTTGACATGTACATGGGTACCATAGAGGTGTAGTGGATCTTGTAGACCAGTCCCATTGCAAGTAGCTGTACTCTGTCGTCTACTCTAAGCCATCCTAGGTTGTCAAAGTGGGCAGAGGTGAGGTGGGTTCTAGATGAAAGGTCAAGCAGTAGTCTGACCAGTTTATTTTGCGATGTTTGAAGTTTTATTTTTAGCGCCTTGGAGGTGCTATGGTACCATGACGTGCAAGCATAGTCATAGTACCCTTGAATGAGTGCTCCTGCCAGAGTTTTCAGGGTGTTCTTGTTTACCAGAGAGGAGATCCGGTATAGGAATCTAGTTCTTTGATTGACTTTTTTTATTACATTGGATGCCATTTTGTCACAGGAGAGGTTTGCCTCAAGAATAGATCCTAGGTATGTAATTTCCTTCTTACTTGTGCGTGGTGTGGGAGAATTTAGGAAGGTTGAAGACCAGGCGAGCAGCTGCATTCTGGATGAGCTGCAGAGGTCGGATGGCACATGCAGGTAGACCAGCCAGGAGGGAGTTACAGTAGTCTAGGCGTGAGATGACGAGAGCCTGGACCAGAACCTGCGTCGCTTTCTGGGTCAGCTGGGGACGCATCCATTTATTTGAAGAATGTTGTATAATTGGATTGAATAGTATTCATGATTTTGTAAGGCTTTATTTTCTACATTGAAGTGTAACGAAGGCTCTATCTAGCACAAGGTTTAATTTACCCCTTTTATAGACGTGAATGATGTGCCATGATCACGGGCCATTTGTATAGAAAGTCTGTAACAATCCTTGTCCAGCCTTTGTGTTGTGTTTCGTCCTTTTCATTGATTGTGCAAGCTCTGTCTGTGTTTCTCAGTCCCTAATGCTTTCTTTCTTTCTGCCTCTATATCTCCCTCTCTATCACACTCCACATGTAGAAATACAGATATACCTCAGTTGCCTGTATTTAGATACTTTATAATAATGAATATCACCTTGGGGAGCATTTTTTTTCTTTCAGAATAAATCTATAAATTACTTGCTAAGCCTGCAGGCGAACATTTATTTATGTATTTGTGTATGTATTGTTTTACCATCTGAATCAGGCTTCTATGTGGAAGCAAGCTCTTAAATCTTATATAAATAACTTTTTACATTACATCTTAAGTGTTGTGTTAAGGGAGAATCAAAATGAGAAACCTTTTTTAAGACTTAAATTATGCTTGGCACAACTACGGAGCCCTGGAGGCTTCATAGAGAGAACAAATAAATAAAACGAGGCCACGTTTTATTAATTTGTGCGCACGAGATGTAATTCGTGGCCTCAATTTAAATAAAACGAGGCCACACTTTATTAATTAGTGCGCACCATATACTTTCTCGTTCGCAAGAGAACAAGTTACCGATGCGCCAAGTAGGACGTGGCACGCACAGGAGACAACCGTTTCATTGCAGACTGTTATGTTTATGTGGCGAAATGGCAGTGCATACATTATTTGAGATATATTTCAAACTCAGACTTCATTTTAGGGACATTTCGGCCAGAAGTGTTGAGCTATTTGTTTAAGCACCGGATTCACAAAACAAGAGAGTCTGTGAACCAGTCTGCCTTGATCTATGAATTCATGTCCGTGACACTCACAGTATCTGCTATCAGAGAGCTGTGTATTTTACGGAGCGCCTTCACTGTGTTTACCTTCATTAGAACAGCTGGAGATCCTGCTACTTTTTAGCCACACACACACACACACACACACACACACACGGTGTAGGGGTGTGTGTGTGTGTGTGTGTGTGTGTATGCTACACACACACACACACACGCACACACACACACGCACACATATACCGTACCCCATTGGCTCAGCGTCACACCTCAAGGTGACCTCCTTATTGTGTGTGTTTGTTATACTGTATGCAATACTGTGCATGCCTCACAGGGTGAAACACATGATGACATTGTTTTTGTTACTTTCGTTGCAGTTGCAGTCTTAAATGTGATTTAGGTTAACTTCCTGTTTTATTTAGATGCTTTTATTTTGAAGGCGATTTTACGCTGTTGACAGGAAGTTGTTGTTGCTATGGAAACGTGAAATGCTACGTGTGTTTGTGCTCTGCTCAGCTCAGCTCTGTGTGTGTGTGTCCGACACCGACATTTGTTTTCAAATTAAATGATGAACAGTAATTTACACACATGTGTATCGATTCAGGGCCGTCCCTCCCTACAGGAAGATCACGCAGACTGCGTGGGGCCTCACCTCGAGGAGGGGGCCTCATCTTGCGGAGGGGGCCTCATCTTGCGGAGGGAGCCTCAACTGTGCCGCAAATGTAGCGCACCTATGCGTTTATGCGGCGCAATTAGAGTGGCGCGGCACAGTTTCGCCGCTGCAGGCTCCAGTATTTTAATTTAGGCCACAAATTACATCTCGTGCGCAAGAATTAATAAAACGTGGCCTCGTTTTATATTTGTTTCTCTTTATGAACCCTCCGTACACAACAATGAGAGCATGTATGTTTTGTGCTGCTGACTTTACTTTTTTTTCTGGACTTTAGAGATTTTAGACATCTTGTATTATTCCTCTATGGAAGCAGACATTATGCAGCCTAGAGAACTGTCTATATAGTGAAATAATTAGTTTAATTCATACAGTATTAAATATCTTTAGGGTAGCATTAGGAATATAGAGACAGCTTTATTTTTTTATTTCCACAGAGACAGAGAAATGCGGCAGCATTAGGCTAAACAATTAGACCTATAAACATAGGGATAATGCTACGTACTGTAAGTCAAAGGCTAGATAGAAACAATTAATGTTTAAATTCGTTATAGCTTCCCCCATGCTGCCTGTGGTAATTATACCCCATGTTGCAATTACCTACAAGCACATTTCCTGCACAGGGAAGGCTCGTACCCACGCTGAAACTGGAGAGGCCGTCAAAGTTATACATGGGAATAAGAAAAAAACATTTCAAGGAGTTCAGGTGTAAAAGAGAGAGCCAAAGAGGATTCTAACATACATAATATAGCCAAACATTGGAGCCAAGTGTTAACAATATCTGAGGAATATCTGAGGAATGGTGAAATGTAACAAGAGCCAGAAACAAAACATTTAGTTTTTAACACATTTATTTACTTTAGTGCAAATACACATGAGGGAATTTGGGAAGTTCATGATCTTTTTTTTATGGAATTCTTCAGAAAAAATAAAAACTTTTTCAAACCAAACAACTCAAATGTGTACTACCTCTGATTGGAGGAGCAGACCAACATCATTGTGTGGGATTTACTCCCAACAAATTTCATGATGAACCAAGTGACCAATATGGCTGACTCACTATGAT